GTAGTAGTAGTAGTAACAGCGCAGCGCGGCGTGGTGTGGAGGAGGAGGAGGAGGAGGAGGAGGAGGATGATGATGATGATGACTGCGGACATGTTACGGCTTGGTGGGATCAGTATTTCGCCTGCCTTATACCAATGTGATATATGTATATATAGGAATGTCTCGTTAATATACCTAGTACAAGTGGCTGGTGTGGAGGCTGTTGTTCTCCCACAATTGTTGAAGAACTTGTTGCATTTGTCATCATCTCGAATCCCTCTCTCTGTTGTAGACATGACTCTTGACAAAGGTGGTATAGCAATTCATAGTGTTTAGTGTGTAGTAACAGTAGAGATGTTCCTCAGCAACAAGGATATAGCTAGATCTAATGTTGCTGACTAACCCGACAGTTCTCCAACCGATGACGCGCTGTCGACGCGACTTCTCCAATGGGTGGAGCTATACCATTTCTCGCTTTGAACAAACATTGGACAATTGACACTTTCAAGGTGAAAAGAAAACGGCATTTCTCCATCGCTTCATCCCCTTCCCACTCCACCAGCACAACCAGACGACAGACACAGACAGATTCAGCCTCCGAGAACACCCGTGGAAAGCCCATCTAATCACGATTTAGCACCACCGTCATAGGCCACCTCCTCATTTTCACCATCGACGACGACTATCACGACGCTTTGGCTCACGCTCGAAACCGGTGGTTCCGCTACAAAGTGTGTGTCCGACGCGTATAAAAAGGATGGCCCAGAATCTGCTTACATCAAGCGCTTTCGCTTCTCTCCCCTGCACTCGCAAATTTGCTGTCGAGAGCTCTGCTCGATTTGGTAGCTTTGTCGGACCCAGCACACGACCATGTTCCGCTCAACATCACCGTAGGATACCTGCCCAACGCCGCGCCACGGGACCGACGACAGCAGAACCGAGGGACTCGACTGCAGCAGTAACATGGGCTTCGAAAAAGGCCTGGGCCAGCGCGACCGCGGTAGCTCGTCCAACTCTGCACGGAAGATCGGGTTTCAGCGCTAGGGGCAATGTTGCTGCTCACGCGCTGCAGACGCGGTCCATGCACTCGACGGCCCACCGCTCCGCCCTCTCCGTCAAATCCCATCCCTCGAAAAACCGCGATCGAGGGCCTGAGAGTAAAGAGGATACGCAGACGGATTTTGGCGCTATGAATATGTTAGGGAATATGGTTCCACCTTCTACGGCTGTGGATGCATGTCTCGATGATGGGTTCGCGCTGGACTCGGGGTTGAAGGTCACAGAAGCGGGAGTCTTGCTCGTAGGTGGAGAGGCGTTTAAATGGAGGCCTTGGATACGGGAAGGCGAGGGCAATCACAGTGTAGGAGGAAGAGGAGCCGGAAAAGTCAAGAATGCAAAGGGCATGTTTGAAGTGGATAAAAGCGTCTGGGGAGTGCTGGACTTGGTCTGGCCGAAACCTGACTTGTTGATTCTGGGCACTGGGGAGAAGATTGTGCCCGTGAGTCCGCAGACGAGGAGAGATATTGCCGCATTAGGAATCAGAATCGAGGTGCAGGATACACGAAATGCGGCGGCGCAGTTCAACATGTTGGCGACGGAGAGGGGGACTCAACAGGTTGCTGCGGCATTGGTGCCTATCGGATGGAGGGAGTAAGGTAGAACTAGTCTCAGCACGACTGTGTGTTTGTGTTCGAACAGAATACCCAGAATGTCGACTATGCAGCACCAGTCTAGCATGTTGAACATGTTCACAACTGCAGTCAAGATATACATACATCCATACCTGGTATATGTGCATAATCCCTCGGGACATACATGTAATTGTCGCTTAGCACAATAGTTGCCAAGCCTCGGACATCTGTGATCGGCCCCATCCTTCTTCTCCAACTTCAACTCCTCCCATCTCCTGTAAACACACATCATCCCACTCTTGGAGGAACCAATCTTTCTTCACGACTACGTAAAAAGGAAAAGCAAATATGACTCAACTTCCCATACGAACTCCCGAAGAGCGTTCCATCGCTCGCTCGACAAAGCGTTCTCTGCACGGTCAACAAGATTCCCCAAAACAACACCGCAGGATCCTCATCATCGGCGACTCCATCACTCATGGCGGTGAGGGCGACTACACTTGGCGATATCGATTATGGCAATGGTGTAAACAAGAAGGCCTGCTAGCAGCAGAGGAAGAAGAAGCCTCCGATCATGAATCTCAACTTGGAAATCCCGCAACAACCCCAAAGAACATTTCCCCAAAAGTCTCAGTTTCCTTCGTAGGACCCTACACTGGCGTCAACCCCCGCCCTTCTCTTGTTGCACCCCACCCTGTCCCTTTACCGGATGACCAATCTCCCGATGATCCGTATTGCCCCCCAAACCGGATCCCATGGGGTTACGCTCGCGATGTCGATGCTTCATTCGCAACAGGTTGTAGACATTTCGCCACCTGGGGTTATCAAGCGCACCAATGTATGCAGTCTATCGCAAAAGTCGTGGAAGATTGGTCGCCGGACTTGATCATCAGTCTTCTGGGCTTCAATGATATTGGATGGTGTGTGAGTGATGCCGAGGGGACGTTGCAGGCTATTCAGGGAATCGTGAGATTTGCTCGGATTGCGAAGGAGAGAGTTCAGAGTGAAAGAAGAAGAAGGGGGGCAAACGGTGGTGATGGGGTTCAGGATGAAGGTGAGGAGGAAAGATTAGATTTCGTGATAGGAAATATCGTGAACCGCACGCTTCTCGATGGAAGAGAGGATCTCATCGAAAACACCCGAAAATTCAACTCTCTACTCCTCGATAGAGCCCATTCTTGGGATCAACATAACAGCAAAGTCGTCGTAGCCGACGTCGCCGCACTCTACGATTGTGGACCTCAATATCGCGATTGGGCCCCCGCGGCATATGATGGACTGCACCCGAGTGCGTTGGGAGAATTCCAAATTGCGAAAGCTTTTACCGAGACGTTGCATCAAGAGTTTGGGTGGGGGAGCAAAGGGTTGGAGATTCCATCTTCGTCGCATCATGGTGATGGTGGTGGTGTTCCGAAGAGGAATCTACAAGTTCCAGAGGGCATCACTGCGAAGAGTACGCCGATGGGAATCCAAGTCCTGTGGAAGGATGTTTTTGGTGCGGCATACCAGGTACACTGGCGGGAGTTTTCTTCTTACTCATTGTCCTCGTCCTTCTCCTCGTCATCGTCATCACGAGGAAAGCCAGAACTCGTCAACAACAACAACGATTGGACCCTTTCGGAATCCTCTCATCCACAAATCTTCCTCCCTGTCCCACAGCATTGTACGATCGAATTCCAACTCCGTTGCCACCATGGCTTCGAAACAGGTCCTTGGTCTCCCATTTACAAAGCGAAATGTGTCGACGCTCCCATTCCCGCTCCGACGAACATCCAAACGTTTCCGAATTCCATAGGCTTTGAAGTCCGATGGGATGCTCCTTCTCTATCGTCCTCATCCTCCTCCACGAACAACACTACCATTAAAAATAACGGATCCATCACTCGCTACGAGATTCTCTACAAATGTCCCACGAGAGGAGACGTATTCCCCACCATCGTGGCTGTTCCTGGGGACCAGACTTGTGCTGACATCGTTGTCAAGGATTTCCTTCCCGCTGCAGCTCGAGCGTTTGAAGGCAATGCTCGTGACAATATCGATGGGGGGAATCGATTTGTGGGTATTGTGGAGCCGATTATGGTGAGGGGTTGGATTTTTAATCGGGGTGATGATGACTCTTCTTTTTCTCATGCTTCACCAAGTTATGGTAATGACAATGGAAACAAGACCCACCACGGCTGGTGGTGTTCCGGACTCTGGGGAAATGCACCTCCCGTGAAAGTCGGCGTAGACGACGGCACTGAAACAGGACGACTCCTCCTCCTCTCCTCACAGCAAGCAGCGATGCAGATGCAGATGCACCATCCTTCTGGAACGCTACAGCCCAAACCCAAACGACCCCTCAATTTGCATGTCGTTTACATTAGCGAAAGGGGAGATTCTCTCCTTTTGAAATGGAACGATGGTGATGAAGAAGAAGACCATCGTAAGAGAGGTCCAGATGATAATGAAGATAAGGATACGGATCCAGACTCACCAGGTTATCGAATCTATCTTCGAAAACTATCTCCATCGTCATCTTCACCTCCATCTCCATGGACGACGAAAGCGGAACCCAACGGCATGTTCATCAAGCAGAAATGGAAACAGGTTAAAATGCCTACTCCCGGAGCGTGTGTGTGGGATTATGAGTTTTGGGTGAGTAAAGTGAGTAAGGTGGTGGAGGTGGATCGGTGGGAGAGGTTGAGGGAGATGAAGGGTACATATGTTGGTGGTGTTCTTGGTGGTGGTGTTGGTGGTGGTGGTGGTGGTACTGATGGTGGTAAGAAGGGAAATAGTCACTGGGAGTGGGAGCTTGAGAGTGAGAGGTCTGCGGGAGTGATACCGGAGGTGAATGGGGTGATGGGGAGTTTTGAGTAAATAGGATGTAGGGATGTTGGGGATGTTGGGGGGATTAAGATATAAGAATGCAAAATATGTGAATATATGAATCTGGGAAAATATGAATATATAGGTATAAATCATTCATCTCTCTACTTACCTTGCCTTACCTTACCTTACCTTACCTTTCCCTTATATACCTATCTACATCAAAAATTTCACTTACTTAGACTTCCTACCTAACCCTAAGGTATATCTTAACCTCCTACCTATACCTAACAACAAAGTAGAACAGAATAGTTAGAACATCGTAGAAACAGAATAGTAGAACAGAACAGACAGAACAGACAGAACAGACAACTTTCTATTCTTATTTCTTATTTCTCACAAACTCTGGAAACTATATATACCTCATCTCTCTCTCTGTTCTACGTCTCTCTATTCTACGTCTCTCTATTCAACGTCTCTCGTTTCGTTTCGTCTATCTTTACAACTAGGTATCTAACTGTAAATATAACTGTAACTGGTAGATTCTATAACGTTGTCTGCTTGTGCGTGAGTAGTATTAGTAATACTTGATACTTACATACGTTGCCTGCCGTGTTTCTCTCGGTGCCGAGGAATCGCTTCGATCTATACCTGGTACGCCTTATAGTTCGAGGTAGGTAAGGTATATATGGTAGAAGCGTAGCGTAGTGTGGTGTGGTATAGCGTGTAGGTGGTGCCGTTTCCGTTAAAACGTTCTTGTTCCGTTCGCATGGTCTGTTTTGGTAGATGGGGATGTAATGTAGACATGTAGACATGTAGATTTTCATTACATACCTTACGGATCACAAGTGGTATGGGGAGATGGGGAGATGGGATGGGCAGATGTTCACATCTGCTTCCCATGTCCATGGTCACGGCGCGGCAGTGGTGGACATGTTTTAGCGCGGTCCGAAGATTCGCCGGCGGCAAACTGACGAGTCTTGTTCAATGTTCGGTATTTTCGCTCTCCCTCGACGTACGGACGGGACGGGCTCCTGTTCACTCTTCTCCTGGTCAATATCTCTCCGCAGTGTCCTAAGATGGGAAGTTCAGATGTTGCCTCACATTCACAAAATAATTTCTTCGAATCTACCACCCTCCTACCACACTACGATACACTCTCTCGGCCTCATCGTGCCGAGCAGCGTCCGCATCGTGACCAAAACGCCGGACAGGGTGGATTCCCCGGCGAGTCAGAGAACGCAAAGGCTGACTTTTGTTGCGTGAGAGGGTTGACTGTTGACTGTCTCGGGCACCAACAAGCACACGGGACACACGGACACACGGGACACACGCAAAGAAGACATCATGATCCCGCACATCATGTCAATGCCAAGCCGACCTGACCGCGAACCGACACTCGCCACACACTTGCTTGCCCGCCTCCTGCCCGCTTCCCTTGAATGAGGGAGGTCCGCTGCGAATCTCGCACAGGATCCGAAACCCGCTCTCACAGTCACAGCTGCAGATCACTCGAGACATCTCCGGTGGCGCAATGTGCCTGAATCGCCTAGTCGTCCGGTAGGCAGGCCTGAGAATGAGCAGGCCGTTGATGCCTCCATCTCTCGTCCACATCAGCATCATCAGCATCATCATCATCATCATCATCACAGCCAAGATAAAACGCCGCGTCACGCGCTCGCACAATTCGGGGTCCGATCTCCTCGCACAAGGTGTCGAAGCACGGGGAAAGGCAAGGCAGGGCAGGGCAGGACAGGGCAGGGAAGGAAAGGAACTGCACAGTCCACAGTGGCACACAATGAATCTTGCGCGCGAGTCGTCCTACACGTTGGCGGAGAGGGGAAAGGCGAGGGGAGAGGAGGGCAGCAGAACGCAGGGCAGGGCAGGATAGGGCAGGGCAGGGCAGATCAGAGAGAGGCAAAAAGAAAAAAGGAATGTTGGCTTGGATGGGATGAGCTACGTCAGGCAGGATCTCATTCTCCGCGCAGACTTTGCCAGGGAGGGAGGACTGACTCTGTTGTGGGCTTGTGGCAGGCGGCACTCGGCTAGCCATTGGCCCAGCCGCGCACAGCAACTCCCTGTCGTCACGCGCTCTCGGCTCTGACTGTCCAGCGTGTGCATGCGAGCGCACGCCAATGAGCGTGCTTTCCCCGCCGGCGGGCCGTTGCGAAGTGATGGACAGCGAATGGCCGGGCTGGCTGGCCCTGGGCGCCAGGGTGTGTGCCTCTTGAGGTTGCTCGGCTTGGCGGTGATGGCCATGGCGCATCCATTTACTGGACCCTGCACATGAACGGGTGCACAGCGAATCGCGATGGCCGCCGCGACATGGCGCTGACAGCATTTGCAGGCTCGTCGGCGCGACATTATTGCTTGTGCCTTGTGGCAGATTGGCAGATTGCCTGCTGCTGGCACCAGCGTGGATGGTGATGGGGATGGGATAGGGATGGGGGATGGATGATAGGATTGATTGATAGCAGCAGCCCAATGGAGAGTGCCTCCAAGGCCCCCAACGTTCAATAGCATACCCTCATGTCCGTTGATGCTCGTTCGAGCCCTACCCCGCCTTGAACCTCTAGATCCCCTCCTTCACCACCGCCTACCTTAGTGAGTGGCCTACCGCCTACTCTGTTCATCCTCCAGGCAAGTAGATTATTAGAAGCCTGCTTTTTGGGGGGTGGGTGCCGAGGGCTGGCCTTATGAACGACGTCGGATCCTTCACTACCTCCCTCCACACCGTACCCGCTACCTGCGACTTGCGACTTGCGACTTGCGACCTGCGACCTGCGACTCTCACGCGGGCGCCGCATACGCCAGAGCCAGCCAGCCCGCCAGCCAACCCGCCCGCCAGCCAGCAACCAGCCAGCCAGCACCATCCACCGTTGTGGCTGCGCGCGCGCAATCACCATCTCCTCTCCCGTCCGTCGCACTCCTCCTTGGCCCCAGATCTCCATCTCGCACTCATCATCTCCGCCCGTAGTAGGGCCACACTACACAACCTACTACATCCTGACTGCCTGTCTGCCTGCCTGACTGACTTCCCGTCCTGAACATCGCATCGCGCTAGACCGGCATGCTCCGATTGTGTCTGCGCCCATACCTCCTACAGCACACAGCACACAGCACACACGCGCGCACACAGCCCACCCGTCCCCACGAGCTCCCCGTTCCGTGATTGCTGCTGCTCGGAAGCTAGTTCTACCACAAACTACCTTACTAGCTACCTCCACTCCACTGCCTGCCAACCTCTGCCTGCCTACCTCTACCTCCATTCCTGACCTAATACCTCTCCGCTTTCGCAAAGCTTACTACTCTGCACTCGTCATCACTCGACCCTCTCTCTGCTCCCTTCCGTTCCCACCTGACCAAGTCGTTGGATTCGCCGAGCACAACCATCGCCACAACACCGTCGAGCTCGCCGTCCAGGACTACTGGTCACTCCTCTTCATCCGGCCATACCTGACCTTCATACCGGCCTGCGAATCGGAGCCTGGCCCAGCGAAACTTGTCCCCTATCCACGTCCCCCCATCACAGCGCTCGGGAAAGTCGCTGGCCAATGTCAGAGCCCCGATACACCTGAGAGGAGAGCCATGCATACAATACCCTCCGAGTCAGACCAAAACCGAACAACCGCAAAGTAGCCCTGCCCCCCCAGGAACCATTCGCCGCTCTGCCGCGATGTCGTATGTCACTCTTTTTTTTTTTGGCTGACCCACCCCCATTCGGGACCACATGCTTTCCCACGTCTCGTCGCAAAACACATAGCATCCAGGCTGCAGAGAGCTGTGTAACAGCAGCTACCTGGCCGTGCTAATGACATCTTGTAACTATGTACACTAACCACCTCTCGTATAGCCATCAGCAACACAACTCGAAACCTCAAAACTTGCAGAGCTCCAACGCCTACTCGACTTCACCATCTCAATTGACCCTCTCTGGTGGTGACCTCCACCACAACGTCGGCCAGCCCCACCCGTATCATCAACAACAGTACTCGTACTTGGGGAGTCCCCACGATCCCACAGCAGGCTTTGGCTTCCCTCCTGCGCCGCCGCAAGGATACAGACCGCATCCACTCCAAACGCAAGCACTTCCTCCGCAACAACAACAGCAGCAGCAACAGCAGCAGCAACAACAACAACAACCACAACAACCACAACAACAACATCACCTGCAGCAGATCTCGCCGACCAACTCGCGTAAACGACGCGCGTCCGACTTGGAAGGCTTACCCGGTTCGTCGAGCAGCAATACGAGCGTGTTCGGTAACCCCGTCGGGTTGTTGAGCGCGCCAGGCGATCTGGATCCAGGCGGGCTCGGAGGGCCGCCTCAGCAGCAGCAGCAGCAGCAGCAACCACCACCACCAAACCCGCCAGTCAAGAAGGGGCGCACCAATACGCCATGGACTCCTGCCGAAGAGCAGAGACTCAAGACGTTGCGCGATGCCGGCAGTAGCTGGAGCGAGATTGCAAAGACCTTTCCCACCAGAACGGAGGGAAGCGTGAAGAAGCATTGGTACAAAGTACGCTTGTCCCAACCCTTTCCCTCCCCCCCCCCCCCCCCCCTTCCCCTCGTCGCCTGTGTTGTGATGATGACGATGACGCTGACCGAGTCTCACAGGATATGCACTATGCCGAGTTCGCGGAAGACGAGGTCAGCAATTTTGTTCGCCTCACAGCGGTCTCCGAAAGAGAAGTGTCAGTCCAGCTAACGTTGTTACAGAGCGCCGCTTTACTGCAGGCAATCAAAGACTATGAAAACAACAAGTGGAAGGTGATTGGACAGAAGGTGGGCAAGCCCGCAAAGGTATGCTTGCTCCTCTGTTCCCGCGAAAAGTTCCCGTCCGTCCAGCGCCGCAAGAGACTGACACTTTTGTGTGTGTAGGCCTGTGAACAGTTCGCAAAGGAACAAGGCTGGAAGGTCTGAGACCCGCCCGGTTGCACGTGCTTTTGGAGGAGTTGGTACATCATTGCATGCTGGTGCTTTTGGAGAGAGATACCCATTCGCATCGGCGATGCGCTGAGCTGCGACGGCGTTCGTGGGTTTCTATTCTTTTTGTTCTGAAAGTATGCGTCTCGGCGAGGCGTTGGCGGCGTGCATAGAGACTATGTACGGAGCACTTGCAATATGCGATGCCACTCGTGGGAGAGATGGAAGAGAGAAAAGCACAGGACGAGGCCATGTCCGGGGGTCCAGCCGGTGTGGTGTCGTCTTTGGAACTTCACGTATGAAGATGCGAGCAGCTCTAATGTAAGAAAGGGAAAGTCAAGTGAGTGGCATGGTAGACAAACAAGACTATTATGGTAATAGATGGAAGACAGCAGGCCTGACATGCAAGGCCACAACAGAGACTCACAGAGAGCGCGAGAGAGAGATCCACCAGTGTGTGTTTGAGTAACGGGGTTGTTTTCGTTCTCTTTTTTTTTTTCTCTTTTTTTTAGTCTTTGGTCGTCTTCGCCACAACCCGCCCGACATGCCGACGCCGCATCGTTTCACTTTCTCCTAGACAGCTCGCCGGTAGCCGCAGTACCTGGGGGGCGGGCGGGCGACACGGGCGGTCTGAAACCGTCTGGGCAGAATCCGAAACACTGTGCTGTGCGAATGCCGTAAAGATGGCCGGCCGCTCAGTACCTCCTACCTCCTAGGTAGGACGGGTAAGTCCAAGGTCGAGGGTAGAGGTACCGGTGGCAAAATCTGCTCTCCGCACGGCCGACGAAGCCGACGTGCGGTGGACTTTCACTGGTCGGTGGTTCTGTACACTCTACACCGGGCACGCTTCGACTTCCCACCTCACCTCGTCGCCTCTCCCACTACTACTACCACCACCACCACCACCCCAATTCTTGCGCAGTGATCTTGTAGCCACCACCTCTCACCACACCCGCAGTCATTTCTCGCGGTATGGCAGCACGTCCGCCGGTCATTCTGCTTCTTACCTAGAGCGTGAGCTTCACAAGAGCGACAACGACCGACGAGTGCTCGCACGTCACCGCCCGCGGAAGGCTAAAATGTTCTTTCAACGGCTACAGTATTATTCGAGAAGGGCGGTACGCTCCAACCCGCTCTGCAACGACCTTAACCCTGTCTATAGGTGGTAGTGCACCTATCTACATGGGGAAGTCATCGACACTGACTCGTGGTAGTCCACCCTCCATCCTCCAAACTTTGACCATCAGAGGGCCTAGACTTACTTGCCCTGCTTTCGAAGGGCACGACGACCATTGGCAGCACTCACCCACCGCTCCACGCTTGCGCGAACGAGCGTGTTGCCCTGCAAGAGGACTACTGCTTCCGACTCCTGCTGACGATGACGCTAAGAAGATGCACAGAGGTTGCCAGACCTCCATTCTACCCCCCGGCCGAGCTCAGCATTGCAGGCACCGCCGACGGCTCCCATGGCCGGCCACCTTGCGCGCGCGCGCGCGCGCCATACGCTCTGCAGCCGGAATGCGCAGACGTTGCCCATTTTGAAGAAACAATTTACAGTGCAAACAAGGTTGTCAGGCGGGATACCGCCTCTCTGTCTTCCGGGGTGGTGAAACTGTCGGCCATCTCTACCGCTCCAGCACGTTCTCCAGATGCAACCCGACGCCTGAGCTGAGCCACCATGAGGCTCTGCGGCGGCATCCTGAGATCATGGCATGGACCCTTCTTCCGAGCAAGTGGGTCCCACCGGCCTAAGCAGTAGTGTACCTGCATGAGAACAACGGCGAAGCCTCTGTCCCGGATGCGACTCTCTTGCTTGGCCTGCCCTCTCTCTCTCCCTCTCCCTCTCCCTCTCGCCCAGGGCTGATCCACCATTGCAGTCGCAGTGTTTCAGATTGCCGCACTCTTCTGCCTGCCTTCCGTAGTGGAGCCAATCGAGGTCCCGCTAATGCTGATGGAGCGGCATGCAGGTGTGGCGATCAACCGCATCATGGCGTTCTCAGCCCAAGTGTTTAAGTATTATGCCATGCCAGCCCTGCTCACATTCCGCTGACAGATCGCTTTTCCTTACTGATGTTTGCATGTCTTATGACCATACTACTTTTTCATTAATGCTGCCCTCTCGACTATTGCTGTAATAGCTCGATCGATTGTCTCTCTTGTACACTAACATTGCGCTTGAGCCCGCACCTCGAAGCTCATCACGATCACTCCGACGACCACCAACGAGGTGTCGTCAACCGTCGTTATCGACATCCACTTTCCCGCGCCCACCCAGGCACGCTGCCCGAGCGGAGAGCTCTGGCAGCCTCCATGCTCAGTAGCAGCTGTGGCGCGACCAACTCATGAATTCTCTTTCGACTTTGCCGGACACGGCCAGGAGCAGAACAACAGCACGGCGGTGCCTCCGGTGACCCAGGCTGAATACCAGCAGCTGTTGACGAGTTTCGACAACTCGTATCTGCAGACACAACAACAACAGCAGCAGCAACAGCAACAACAATCACAACAGCAGACTGCTTCAGACTACTCCCAATATGGGTCTCCGGGAGTGCTGCTATCGCAGGTCCCTGCGCCAGAGTCCCACTACACCGTCAATCCCTTGCAACAGCAGCAGATGCTTCCCCAGCAAAAACATCGACAGTTCTCGCAAGCATCTGCTCCCTACTCGTCACATCAGGGAACTCCGTACCAGAGCCCGCCCACGATTGGACATCAGCCCAACGGTCTCCCACCTGCACAGCTCTCGCGCAAGAGGAGCTTCCAGGAAGACTACACATATGACTATCCAGCGTCCCAACAGCACAGTGAGGGACACATCCCCGTGGAGCTCGCGGGACATGGCCACCACATGCAAGCCGGACCAGTTCCCTATCATTACCAGCCACATCGCTCGACTTCCGCACAGTCGCACTCTCATTCGAGTACTCCTCAACAGTCGTATGCGTATCAACAGCAGCAACAGCAGCAAGCGGCGCATCACCACCACAAGCTGCCGAATCAGCCTCCCAACAAGCTGCAGAGGACCTCGTACAGTCGTGAAACGCCTGAAGATGACGAGCATGGGCCTCCCAGCGTCGTCGGACAACCCGGTATGCCGGAACCGGCGCCTCGCCCCAAAGGTCCCAAACTCAAATTCACACCGGAAGACGATGCGTTGCTGGTGGAACTTAAAGAGACCAAGAACCTCACCTGGAAGCAAATTGCCGACTTCTTCCCAGGACGCAGCTCGGGAACGCTCCAGGTCCGGTATTGCACCAAGCTCAAGGCCAAGACTACAATCTGGACAGATGATATGGTACGTTCCAACGTGAACAGCAACAAGTCTCGTTGAGCCGACCTCGTCCGACAACGACTTGAGTAAATGCGTCACACGCTACGGCAGGCCATCGCAGAGCAATGACTAATGATGTCTGCAGGTGCAACGTCTTCAACTTGCGATGCAGGAGTATGAAGTGGACCGTTGGCGAGTCATTTCCGGCAAAGTGGGAAACGGCTTTTCTGCAACGGCCTGCAAAGAGAAAGCCATGGAGCTCGACGCTCCGGACATGGAAGACACCGAATATGTGCGACACGAGAGTACGACCGCCACGAATCTCCTACCAGGCTCGACGACGACGACAGCGAGAGAACCATTTGCTACCAACAACCACCAGTCCGAGGGTTGAACGTCAGCAGTGAAATTTCTTCTTTCATCATCTGCATCCAGTCACCACCACCACGATGACAACGACGACGTACTATTGAGCCAAGAGCCGCTTTTTTGTGCTCGTTTCAACAGCAAACTCGAAAGCATGGCGTTTTTACGGTAGCATATTGGGATATACCTCTTTGTGGTGTGGACGGAAGAGAGCTACAAAGAAAGGGCAGCATCTTCACGTTTTTATTTTTTTGTTTTGTTTGAACCACCCCATCCTGTGCTGGACACGGATGGGAATGATACCACCAATACCCTAATGACTTTTTTTGTACGTTGGAGGAAGTATAGAGGAGGGGAAGAGGATGAGAGAATAGAAGGCCGAGGAGAGAAAAGGATGTTGTTGTTGATGTTGATGTTGTACTATTAGCGACGTGGCAAAGGTCACACCAGCGAGGCGCGTAAGGCGTGAAAGGGTGATACAACTTGTGTATAGGCAAGGAAGAAAGGAAGTAAAAAAGATCAGAAGACGAGAATAAGAAAGACAAGTATAAGACCACACACTTCTACTGCTATCTACTACATACATACCTACCTGGTAGATACAAGTAATCCAACAACCACGTACGGCTTACAATACGGTATGGTATAGTACAACACGGCAATACAAGCACCCAAGCAGTCACCTACCCAAACAGTCACGCGAAAAAAAAAAAAAGAAAAAAAAATTCAACCTTTTAGAAATCCAAAGAATACCTCCAAAGAGCCTCTTACCTCCTCTACCTCCTCTACCACCTGAGAGGTACCTCCATAGGAGGTAGTAGCTTGAACAGTTCTAGACCTCTACCTCTAGGTAGTTTGTAGGAATCAGGTAGGATCAACATCCGTCATCCGTCATACCCATACCTTCCAATGTTGAACCCTTAAACTCTAATTTACGAATTTTTCAGCTTTTCGCTTTTCGCCTTTCGCTTTTACGGATAAAAGGTAAAAGGTAAAAAGTTCTGTCTGGTACCGATGATGATCATGACGATGATGACGTTTAGGCGTGGTGACGATGATGTAGCGGGGTGGTGACGATGGTGGGGTGGTGACGTTCTTGGGTGTAGATGGTAGAGGGGACGGATTGGGTAGAGGAATGATGATGATGGATTGGGTAGAGTGGAGTGTAAATAAAATGTGGCGGGAAGGTTACTTTGTTTGGTTAGTTTGTTTTTTTTTGGGGGGATGGAGATGAGGGGCGAGGGAGGTGAGGGAGATGGAGATGGAGGGAGGAGATGGAGGAGGTGAGGGAGGAGATGGGGATGGAGATTTGAGGGAGATGGGAATGGAGATGGGGTTGGGGTTGGGGTTGGAAGGGAGATGGGGATGGAGATGGAGATGATGGAGGAGATGTGTTCAAGGGTTGGCGGGTTGGCAGGTTGAGTGAGGTAAGTTTCGTACAGGAGCTGTGAATGTCGTGATGGGATGGATTGGTGGATTGGGAAGTTGATGGAGTGGATGAAAACAGTCATCTTCGGGAAGACGAAGGCATAAAGTTCTGGCTGCCTTGTAAAATGGTCTGTGGGTTTGAAGTCTGTCTGGATGTATTCCTGGACGTATGCCTGGATGTATACAGCTTTCTGCTTTCTGCTGTCTGCTGTCTGCTTTCTTCTAAAGTTCTACCCTTTGTACTTTCTTCGTACAGAGTTGCACACGTTGCTCCTGTATCGAGGAGAGAGCTACGATAGCAATAATTTCGATTCCTCACTTTCTCAATATGATTATCGCCCCTAGTCAAAAGCACGTACGGAGTAGAGTACATACCCGGAGTTGATTCTACCGACCCTCCGCATTGGGTACTGTAATCACTAGTGTATTTCTTTTTCGAGTTCTACGCTCTTGAACGGTACCTGAGGCTCTACGACGAATTCGTTCGCTGCTGCTTGAGCTTCTCATCAATACAGTACGCTAACGCGGCGGATGCGTCACAGAGGACTTGAACCAAACCAGAGTACCTCCTAGTGAATGTGCTCAAATGTTTTCGCAAGGCTACGTTGGACCGCTGGTTGTTAGACCTCACCCCTGTTTCCCGGGATCTCCGTAGTTTGGGGATCAATCTGATCGGGGGCCGAGTACAGGGTATTCAGCCCCCTTTTAAGAGTCCGTATGATCGTTTCTGCCCGGTGCAGTGGTAGAGACACGAGAGTTGAACCTTCTCACTGGTAATTGTGCCCGCGGAAGTTCACGGCCCGCCCCGCGTAGAGGGTAACCATTAACGTCACGTCAAATCTGCCTCCTCCTGTCGACGCTCGTAGATTTCCCTATACCGTCTACTCCTTCTTCCGCCTGTTTCCGTTTTTGGAAATGCAATGACCTCTACCTCACTGACCAGACCGCGCAGCTGCTCGTATCCCGGGCGAGTGATACGCCCAATGTGGAATCTTATAATAGGATAGCGTTTGCGCTCAGTAGCGCGCTCGTCACTCCCACGGATGGATCAAAGAGTTACTCAAGCAATATACCTACCTTACCAAACAAAAGGACGTCCTCGCCGGCATCGAGACCGGTGAAGAAGGCGAAAAAATAATCGAATTGCCGAGAAAAAAAAAACTATGCCAGAACGCCGAGAATGAGCACAATGTCAGTGCCCGGCAGCGCTGATGTGTATACAGTAGCTCTTGCCATACCTCGCCAGTTCTCCTACCAGAAACGTAACATGATGGCCAGAGCAAGCGCGATATGGCTTGAGCGATCATAGTCATATGCCCAGGAACACGGTGACTCCTGCCATGTCGTTCACGCAAATGTCCCCACTGTGCGAATGGGATGCAGTTGGCCGTACATCGCTCGGAAGGTTTCCGACTGGTCACTGCGGTCAACAGACTGAGTTGACATATCCGGATCCAAGTGGAAACGTTTTTACCATTGCCAAAGGCCATCCTTAGGCCTGCGCCTGTGTCATACGCAGGCTGTCGAATGGAGGCCCGCTACGACACGATAGAGAAAACATCGGTAGTATCCACAGTCCTCACAATTTTGTAAGTGTGGTTCTGGTAGAGAGACGACTTGGTAGCTCGCTATGGTCCTCACGATACTGAGAGTTTTGGTTCTGCGAAAAGGCTAACTATCCGTTACTCACAGCACCCCAGGCGATATATCTCACTGCTCATTCCCTCTATCGTTTGGTATTCACAGCTTTCACCACCACGCTACATCATACTGTCCACACGCTTCCGCCAACGACAACATCACCATCACCACCACTACCACCACCACCAACAACAACAACAACAACAATAACAACAACAATAACATGCCGGTCCGAAGACTCACCCCGTGGGCTCCAGAGAGTGACCTCTCTTATATCGGCAGGTTCCGGGCGTACCAAGACCGGTACTTCCAACCGGTCCCGGGGGCTGATTCGCCAAACTCGCCGACTGAAGTCGGCAATCCTGGTCCAGACGATGGGGCCACCATTAACCGCTCGGCTGATGTCGAGATGACCGGGCTCGAGGAGAGCTCGGGTGAAGCAGAGGGCGCTGTTCCCTCTGTGAACGTCCCGGCTGCCACGCAGCCGGATGTCGAGATGACCGGGCTTGAGGAGAGCTCGGGTGAAGCAGAGGGGGCGGGTCCCTCTGTGAACGGCCCGGCTGCCACGCAGCCGGAAGTCCAGGCGGCCGGGCCCGAGGAGGGCTCCGGTGAAGCGGAGAGGGCTGCTCCTTCTGCGAGCGGCCCAGCAACCACGACGCCGGCAGCCCAGGCGTCCGGCGAGAGGGTAAGCGGAGAGTGGCCCGAGCAGGATGTAAGTTTTCCATCATCATTATCATCATCGATTATGCCTCACACACACACACACACACACACACATCCAAAATTGACACACACCGCTAACGCATTCACAGCTCGAGCACATCCTCACCCATCGCTTCGCTCGCCCGCCGTTGTCCTCGGAGAGAATCGGCGACACATTGCCAAGCGGTCGGCGCAGCGGCACCGCCTGCCGTCTGCAACTGCACAGGTTGCGTCGCGGGGTCGAGAGCTTCGAAGCTTTCGGTCAGCTTCCGGTTCGCCAGCAGGAGCTGGTCCAAAGGCACCGGAAAGCTTTCCAGGACTATATTGTCCGGTTCCCTTCTACCAAGAGGGATGGGGAGACCACGGGGGAGACGAAGGAGAAGAAGGGGGAGACGAAGGAGACGAAGGGGAAGGTGAAGAAGGAGGAGGTGAAGGTGAAGAAGGAGGAGACGAAGAAGGGAGAGGGCAAGGGCAAGGGCAAGGCGAAGGAGGAGGAGGAGGAGGATGAGGTGAAGAAGGAGAAGAAGGAAAAGAAGGAGGATGAGGAGTAAATTGGGCGCGTGCATCCTCCGTGTGGAGAGGAGCATGGTTGGAAAATGCATGCATGTACTACCTTACTGTACCAGTATGTTTGTAGAATTAACTGGGTTTGCTTTTTTACTGCATGTTTTTAATAAGCTCCACGCTCCACCTCTCAAAACGCTCGTTTTTTATTGTAAACTCTAACATGGGTGCAATATAGTTTAACTGAACGCCATCTTTTGCAAAAGAACGCCTATTAATCATTTTTGTATACCTAGGTATCATTTATTCTCATTCTCATCATATTCATATTCGTATTCGTATTCGTATATTCATCATAGCATAACATAGCATAGCATAAATAACTCTTTCCGCTCTCGCTTTCGCTCTCGTCCCGCGGAAAGAAAAAAAAAAAAAAGAAGAAGAATATATATATAAATCGAGGCCGGGGGAGAGGGAGAGAGGGGTGGAGATGGACATGTCATATCATTCCCCAAAAATCCCCCTCACCCACCCATCTTCTCAAAATGTCATAAATTCTCCCCCCTTGCGGCCTTGCATCCCCTTCCTAGCCCCATCACTTCGAAGTCATAGCCGCGGGTCCATCATGAAAGACTCGAAGTCCAATACTCTCTCGCAACTTCTCCCTCCTCAGCTCTGCCAAATTTTCGCGTCGCAGTTTTCTCGCAGCTTGTAATTTGGCGCCAAAAGCTGATAGACCTACGTACTCGAGCCTGCGTCCACCGGAAAAGGGGACGCGAAAGTTCATTTTGCTGCTGGGGTGTCGATCGGAGAGGAATCGTCGTCGGTGTCGTCGCAAGAACTCTTCGGAGCGTCGGTGGCCTAGGTTGGGGCTGGAAGCGACGCGATAGTCTTGCAGACTGGCACCGGGTGAGGGGTGAGTGACAGGACGATCGATGTGGTGTCTGCGGGAGTTGCTGCCGTGGCGATCGATGCCGAGACTGTTTCCCATGAGAAAGCCGCCGCTTCCACGGAAACCGGGCATGCGTTTCGACATGGCGCGAGGGAATGTAAAGGCATTCTTCGCCTTGGGGTCTTCCAGTACCTCGGAAGTGTCGCCGCCAGCTGGAAGCGGGTCGTAGTCGTCATCGTCATCGTCGTCGGCATCGCTTTCGTAGTCTGCCCAAAAGTCCCTCGGCTGCCAGAAAGAACTCAAGTGCAGAGGTCTCTGGCCCTCAGTCTGTCGTGTGCGCCGTGAAGGCGCAGATCTGCGATATGAGTTCTGGCGGCCAAATGGGACCGGTTGGTTCAGACTTTCACTAAAGCGGCGAAAGCGATCTTTGAGACTGAGACTCCGCTGAAGATGTGCTCGTGGGTTCTCCGCCTCGGGGCGTTCAGTTTCTGCCTTCTCCACCGAAGGCCCCATGCCCAGCTGTCGTTCCAGTTCGTCGTTTGGTGTGGGCGGGATGAATTTGATGACCGGCGGTTCAGGCGCTTCTCTCGGATTGGTGAGAGGACTTTCGACACTGTAGAGTGGCTTGCCGATTTCGTCAGCGGGCGTGACAAAAGCTTTAAAGTTGGCTCGATTGATGCCTGGGATGGGTTTGCCGTCGAGATCAGAGTCATCGTCATCAAGAGGCATGCGCTCTGGCATGCTGACGTGCCGAGCGGTCTGTACCACCAGCAAACTATTATTGGTATGCGGGAAAAAGGGAATTCCTTTCGCCTCGCAGAGCTCTGCTTCAGAAGGTGCTGTGCCAGACATCTGGCTCATGGGCGTGATGGTCGGGTGTAGTGAGCGGTAGTCCAGACTTTTGCGACGTGGTGAGTGCCCCGTCTTCGAGCTTGCATTGGGAGACTCTCGTCGATCGCTCCTGGGACTTCTATCCGACATGAGTTGTCGATGGCTGCGCTCGTGTTCTTCGGGAGGGGACACTTGCAGCAGCTGTGCAGCAACGGATTGCGGGCTGGGATTGGCCTCGTGCGCCTGCTGGGACTCAGGCACATGACTGAGGCTTGTTCTGTGCACCTCGTAGTTACGATCCAAGCGCTGCTCAGCTGAGGACCTTCGCAGCTTTGGCGCAGGCGCAGTGTCATGGAAAGAGGCAGCGAACAAACCAGCAGTATCCATGCTCAGAGATCTTGCTCCGGGTCTTGCAGAGTTGCTGACGGGGCGCGGTGTTTGCTCGAGGCTGTGGTGGCGCAACGATCGCCTGAGCGTGTGAGGGTTGCCGAGGACGCTAGCAGATGCGACCCTGGGCGCAGAGTCTCGCAAGGCGCTATACGAAAAGTGCTTCTCGCCAGCACGCGGCCGAGTGCGCGTTATCTCGCCTTCCGCTTCTGCTGTCCACGGCCAAGCGTCTGCGAAATTCTGCATGCTATGCCTGACGCGTTCAGGAGAAGCCTCACTCTGCCCCAGACTGCCCACTGCCCTCTTGTGCTTCAGCATAGGTGTGCTATCCGAGCGGCTGATCACGCTCACATCGCCTCGGAGCGAGTCCCTCTTGGGCGTATGTCGTAGCTTGGGCTTGTTCTCCGGCGGCACGACGACTCTCGCTTGCACACTTCCATCTGAGATGGCACTGTGCCTTTTGGCATTCTCTGCCTGGATCATCTTGTACACCACGTTGTTGTCCTCCAGACTCTTGTCCTTCTGCGCCGTCGAAGGCGGTGTCCGAACGTCCTTGGGGGAGACAATCGGTACAAACTCCACTAGGGGCTTGACCTCGTCCTGAGCAGGCGTGATGACTTGGCGCTCCTCGGGAGGAATGGGCGGCAGCGCTGTTAAGGGAGCTGGCTCTGGCTGATCCTCTTTAATCACGTCCTCGAGCCGCTGAAGAATGTCCTTCCCCGTCTCTGGGACTTCCGGCGCCAGGGGAGGTGCTGCATTCCTCAAGAACTCAGAATCCATTTCCCGAGCTGGCGGTGTTTTAGACTTGTGCTGAGGCTTCTTCCATGTCTTGACGGGCCCAACAGAGCCATAGAGGAGGAAATCGTCGGGTCGCTTGATCTCGTCGCCCGGCTGGAAGGGTCTGCGAAGTCGAGGTATTGCGACTGCTTGCTTTTGACGAACACCTTTGCGCGATGCGGGTGAGGCCGGAGCCGAGTCGGACGTGCTGCGTTCGTCGCTCGCGGAGTATGTCACTGTCTTATCATCCTTTTCGCCATCGCTGCCGTCCGATTCGAGGTGGTAGCTCTTCACCCGACACACCACATCCGAGTCGGAATCCGTATGCATACGCTCTTCTTCCTGCACAGCTAACACATTGTTCGACAAGCCCATCGCTCTGCCCATTTCGATCCAGCTCTGTCGAGGAGTCTCGTCCATGTCGGCGGGCAGGAGATTGACTTGGGTACTACTCGCATGCGGTGTCCTCCCCTCGGTTGCTGTCCGAAAGGACTCGGCATATGAGCTAGCATAATTTTGAGGAAGAGAAGGTCTGTACAGGTGTGACTGATCGGTACCGCGTCTGCTCGGCGGCGAGGGATCTGGCGTAGGCGGGCTATTGCTCGAATTCACAGGTGTGCTCAGTCCAGATTTGTGCCTTTCCAATTGCTTCCTCACACGGTCTGCGAATACCGGTGAGGGACTCAGCCTTCGCTCTGCTGGGAGTGATTCGGCCACCTCGCTGTTCGTCATCGTCGGCGGCGTGGGCGGAAAGTCAGAGTTGTGTCTGCGAAGTCGCTTGGGCGGCGTTGTCGTCTGACTATCATAGTCGAGCGCGGCGCTCGTCGCCGAAGCATCAGACGGCATATCGACGAAGGTGCCAGGCATAGAAGGTCGAGATGGTGGACTCGCATCCCTTTTGATGCTCCCATTCGTAGTAATTGCATGCCCCTCAGCAATCTCAAAGGCTCTTCCGAGTATGCTGAATCCATCCGCGGAGGGATCCATTGTCCTGCGTTACTACCGATAGTGGTGCAACATGGAGATTATCGCATAGGTTTCGAGCGAGTGTTGGGATGTAGAGTTAAGTCTTTCGCTAGTTGTAATGCAGAGGGAGTGGTGATAGAGTTCGATTGTGTATAGTCGATGCTAGGGTGTACTACTGCATTCGTCGGTCGTCCGGTCGTGACCCGGTCGGTGGTCGTTCGCGAGTCTGTACACAGTGCGACTCGATCGCTGCAACAGATCGATCGTCAAGGGTCGTTCGTCGAGAGGGCGGATGAGTGTCGCACAGCGATGGCTGACAGACGTCTGGACTCGTTGTCGGTTACTGCGAACGGCTTTCGCGGTCGTCGAAGGCGTCGGGTGGCTGCACCACGCAATGCACGCATCAACGTGCTGCAGAGTGTAGACCGGCGAGAGGGATTATGTGCTAGGATCCGGGTTTCCTTTGCAAGTTTGCAAAGTTGGTTGGAAGCGGTCCTGTAACCTTGAGGCCGACCTGGGTCTATCGCAATCCCGTGTGCGGTGCCGTGAGTGAGGGCACTTGCTGTTGCTCGCAGCCGTGATGTGTTGTGAAAGATCGCGAAGACGAGAAGCAAAGAAGGCCCGGGCAGTTTGGCTGTCGCGATATGGTATTACCTACTGCGAGCCGACACTATCGTTCAGTTGGTCGGTCGTTGTCGTCGTTGTCGAGGCCGTCGAAGGCAATTGTTCTAATCGGTAGTCGTGAGACCTGGCCGTCGGGGCGATCGCTGTCTGTCTCGCTGGTGTCTGGACTGTCTGCCCTGCCCTGCCTTGCCCTGCTCTGCTCTGCCCCTGCCCCTGCCCTGCTCTGCCCTGCCAGCCTGCCACCGAACCAGTCTGGGTGTGAAGCTTCAAGCCACTTGGGAGACAAATGACGCTGCTTGTGCTTGAGAGATTAGTTCTGAATAATAAGCCTTCAGCAGATCATCACGTGCGGGACTGGTCGAGCCTCTTTTCATCCCGCTGTCGTCGACGTCGTCGTCCCTAAAAACCTCCGACGACTCTCTTCTTGAACATGTTACGGAGGTAGTTCTGAAGGATATGCATGCAAAATAAGAGGTGCGAAGGAGACGGTAATAAGGTTAATGTAAGGACGGAAAATGGAGGTCTTTTCAGTATTTTTCCGTTTCGTCTTGTTTCTGCCCCAAACCATGCGACCTCATGCGACCTCATACGTCGTGCATTGGCTCCGTGGGCCGTACACCCAATCACCTCATCAACAGCTCTGCTCCACTTCTGCAGCGTGCAGAAGTGGTCTCGTTGATGCATACTCGGGCAAAGCTCTGGATTTGATATCTTGCGCATGTCGTGCGACGAAATGTCGTCGTCGTCGTCGTCGCCATATACTCGAGCTAGAAGTGTTCGGGAAGCAGTCCTTATTCTAACTGAGAGCAGTCTTCTAGAACAGAGGAACGCAGCAGGGGCAAACATACGAACAAACGAGCTCTTCGCCTCGGTCCGGGGTAGTCTATGCATTCACGACACATTATCCTACCTACCTACCCTCGAGGCTACCGTATTCAATCAATCAAAATTTGACTGACTGCATAAAGGAGACCAGCGGCACTTTCAAGCCTTTGATGTTGGAACTGCCGTGAGACTACGGTGGGTAGAGAGACACGGTACCTGACGTGACACATTCAGCCTCACTCAAAGAGCGCCTGGTACACGGGCTCACAATGGATGAAGCGTTACTGGACAATGCTGTGCGAACCGCCGCTGCAGGGCTGTGGAGAATGTGGCAGCCACTGACCACTCTATCGGCATCACTCTGATGAAGCCGTACCCATGCCGTGCTGTACGAAACTGGACCATTATTGAGAGTGCATCTGCAATATACAGAGGCAAGGTCTTGCCGCTACAGTATGCCAAGAGCTACAGGCTACTACCTTATGCTCTTACGGCAACTTATTGGATCAGAGATACGGTACAGACGCGTTTGTACATGACTTTGAGGAGCTGTCATTCTACCTACCTACTGTACATTCAGTCTCCACGAGCATAGTCTCGTTCCAAAGCACTGTTCATAGCGACTCCGTCTACCTGTACAGCATCCTGTTACTGCGTGTTCTTCCAGTCACTGCCTTACTCATAAGAATCTCTCCCAATTCCAGACAGACGATATATACCTAGGTATCTACTTGACTTTCTCGACTAGCCCGTCCACTCAGAATAGATGTTAAAGCTCAGCGCCAGTATCGACGCGAGGACGATGTCTCATCATTAGTGAGTATCTTGCCAAAGAACCAGGTCGTAAGAAATGTTGCAGAGTTGCTATATGAAGCCCAGTGGTCGTTGCGAATGAGCAGCAATGCCGCCACCTGGCAAGTTGTATCGATAGACAGCTCTTCTATATCATCATGTGGTCGTGGCCAACGGAAGTGTCAACATGTCAATCTCCGTGGAACTGGATTTGCCACGCTGCTGAGACGCCAGTCAAGTTCGCATGTCAGGAAGCGTAAGCATATGGAGGCAGTATGGTAGCTATTATTTCTATTACTCTCGTGCTTGTTGTCGAGGTTTCAAATTCGTGACAAGATCAGGTAGTGGACGAGTTCGCTCGATCAAAGTGAACAGAGGAATCTTTTTATGAGCCTCAGGCACCACATCTTCCAAGAACAAAGTCCCCTGAACACCACCCAAAAAACACGCGAGCTATCACCTGCTTCCAGACTCTCGCTATGACAATGCTGATTCGATGTCCGTCTTTTTCCTACGCGTCTACAGCGCGTTACTGGCTACCGCCGTAGCTGGGACGTTCTACCTCTTCTTCTACCCAACATTTCACCAATGCAGTTTCCCTAGCAGCAACATCGATACCGGCCAACAGGCGCCTTTCAGATTATTGGCCTTCGGAGATCCACAACTGGAAGGAGACACCAGTCTGCCCGGAAATGGACATACAGAACTATTTCCTAGCATACGACGCATACTGGACAGCATACAGCAGCGTGGCTTCGGAGGAAGCATCAACAGCATCAGCAGAGAAGGCAGACGACTATTGCACGAAGACTTGCCCACGGCTGTGAGGACCTATCATAAGAAGCTGGACCTTTGGGGGAACGATCAGTACTTGGCGCACATCTACAGAACGGTGAGCCGGCAAACCGATCCTACGCACGTAGTGGTGCTTGGAGATTTGTTGGGCAGTCAATGGATCGACGATGATGAGTTTCGACGACGATCGCACCGATTCTGGCAGACGGTGTTCAAAGAGGGAGAACGAGTGCCCAGCGATATCACAGATTATAAGAATGTCCCAGCGGAAGAGCTGAGCGGGAACAAGAGTTGGAAGAACAGAATCATCACCGTTGCTGGCAACCACGACATTGGATATGCTGGAGACATTGATGAGGATCGCATACGGAGATTCGAGGATACATATGGCAGGGTGAACTATGAGATCAACTTCAAATTGAATGACACATCGACGGTTGACGATACCACGGCAAAGCATTTGGCACCAGAGCTGCGGCTGATCATTTTGAACTCCATGAACCTCGACGAGCCAGCATTACACCAGGGACTCCAACAAGACAGCATCGACTTCCTGAACCAGAGGTTGTATTGGGAGATACCACAATCAGACACAGCCGGTACCATCCTCCTCACCCACATTCCACTATACAAGGAAGCCGGCATATGCAAAGATGGTCCGTTCTTTGAGCACTTCCCCGTGCGGCCCAACGAATACTACTCCGGCGGCATCCGGGAGCAGAACCACTTGACGTATGACTTGAGTGCACGTATCTTGGAAGGCATTGTTGGACCAGAACGCACACGACGCTCGATCATCTTGAATGGGCACGATCATCATGGTTGCGATACGTACCATTCCCGCACGTTGATAGAAAAGCCTCTGCCAGTACCAGAACCAATACTCCCGCGCGAGGATGAGGATGATGAAGCTTATGAAGCTCGAATTGCGAAAATGGCTCCCGTGCCTCTCCCAGAGCCGGAGAAGTGGCGTGCGCAGCAGTATCGAAACGCCGCGAAGACGATTGAAGACAAGGAACTGGCGGGAGTGCGCGAGATCACAGTACGTAGCATGATGGGCGAGTTTGGTGGCCATGCCGGACTGTTGAGCGCGTGGTGGAATGCCGAACAGCAGGAATGGCAGTACGAATATGCGACGTGTGCAGCAGGCGTCCAGCACATCTGGTGGGCAATTCAAGTTGTAAATGTGATCACCTTTGGAGCAGGAGTCGCTGGTGTACTGCTATTTGGCGCTGGGAAGCTCAGTAGTTCATCCCAGACGACGGCAACAGAACGAAAGAAGAGGCAGTGAGAGATATGTATACCTATGCATGTAGATGTAGTTACTCGATCAGTGAGCACATGTCCATACCTCCTAATATAACCGCGGACCCCGTACTGTATATACATCCCTGACTTGGGCACATGGCTGTATGTAAGGAGAGCGTCCCATACAATCCAATCCCACCCCTTCCCCATCCCACCCCTTCCTTCTTCTTATTCTTCAAGATTCTCCCGCTGACTACCTTACCCGCTTGCTTACCAAATCCCTCCCGCTCTCCCGCCCTTCCGCACAATGTATAAAATCCCTTCTCTTTCCATCCTGAATCTTCTTCCTTTCTTTCTTCTTCATACTTACCTTCTTGGGGTTTTCCGGCGCTCACGAATGCTGGAGCCATTCAGAAGCGGCTGCATTGCACAGCGCGGACCGCAACTGAATCCTGTCTCCTTCGGGGGCCAGGTCGGGGGAATTTTTGCTGGCTTCACACACTTCACACACTGTTGTTGAAGACGTTCTTTCATCATGGCGTTGGCTGTTTTCTTCTCTTGAGAAGATGGCTGGCGGGTGGAGAAGGATACTTGGCTACCTACATGTACCTTGAGGTAGTTTGTACTGTTGCTGGTGGTGATGGTGATGGTTGATGGTTGATGACGATGATGATGGTGGTGGTAGTGATGGTTGTTGATAAAACCCCCAGGCGAATGTCTACTCGCCTCACCGCTTCTTCCATCTCCTCTGCGCCTTCTGTCCGTGGTGTTCCACTCGTCTCTGTCATTCTCGGATACCTGGCTTGGCTGGGCCTGTGCCCACCAGTCAAACACTTTTCAACTACCTAAGGTACAAGTACCTACGAATCAAACACGGGTGCATACGCCGCCATGCCTCTCCTCCTCAACTCTCCCACCACCGACCTCGTCAGCGATCTGTTGCTGATGAAGAACAATGCTTCAGCATCGCTTTCTCGGTACACCTGAGTCGCCAATTCAATCAGATCCGGTCGACCGTTCGCCTTCGTGTCCCATATGATGGCCTTCGGATCCCAGCGCGTCAACGTATTACAGATCTTGTCGCCAAACACTCGCTGGGGATCAGGGGCCGACCATATGATACGCAGACTCACATCGTCGAGTAGCGTCAACGCGGCCAACAGTGGCCCTGCTCCACTGCCTGTACACATGTACACGACTCGATGAAAGATCTTCGCCATTGAGCCCACGCCAGCCATATGCATGCCTTTCATGTAGTAGTACGGCGGAGGGTTCTCGATGGCATCTGCTGTCCAGTCACCGGCTTTGGCAATGATCATATTGGACGACCCGCCCTCGGTGTTGTCAAAGTCATTGATCGCAGCGAAGCCGTGCCATTCTGTCAGTGGCGACTTGGAGATACCTGCGCCGTGTTGAGGTGGAATGCGCTCGTGGGGATCAAAGTATACGCGTATGGCACGGTCTGACAAGGCTTCGGTTCTGACCACTCGCACTTTGCGCAACAAGAGGTATGGCCAGATGGCAGTGATGCTGAGGTAGAGCAGAAGCCAGAAGATGGGCAATCTCACGAGCCTCGAGCCGAGAGATCCTGACCCAGACTTCTTCACCTCATCTCTTACAAACAGTACGAATGCAACCCAAAAGACGGCGATAGCAAACCACCCTCCGAAGCGATGCCACTGTTCGAACAGATTGTGGAACCTGCGCCGCATCTGTGGCAAGGCAAAGACGACGATGCATATCAACACCCAGAGCAGAACATACACCAACGTCAGCACTGCCAGACTGCTATGCTCAGCGTCTCGCGCCAGGTATCCCGCGAATAGAGAAAACCAGATCAAGCTTGAACATGACGCTCCACTGTGAATGCCGCCATATTCGTACACCTTTGCCGCTTGGTGGCGCAGCCAAAGTGGAGTGGATCTTGGTATCCGCCAAAAGGAATGGAAGATGAAGTTGACCGTGTACGGCTGTCGAATGAAAATTGCGGCCGTAAGGTTGGCTATGGCTGCATTGGCGCAAGGAAGCAGAGCTGAGTGTGCACTTTTGCCTGGTAGTATCGTAGCCATTGCAATTATGTTTGCTGACAGCACCAGGGTGAACAGGAGTTTGTACACGCTGGCATAGTCGGTGGCCCAGGCGTCGAGGAGGGTGTGGAACCATTTTCGAGGTACGCTGAAGAATCCCCTTGGAGCATCTGGTCGATGAGTGGGAACCTTCCCTCCATTGCTTTGCTTTATTTCCGTCACGGGCAGAACTGTGTTTGAAAGTAGGAACTTCGACATCGTTGAATCTCTGTATAGTAGTGAGTGCTTCACTGTTCTCAACATATTCCCGGCACACTATTGACGAACATTGTCATACAAGCAGCGACGCCGAACATCCTAGGCCAGTCCTATGTTTCATTACGTTGTCCTCAACACCACTGCCACGATCTCCGACCGCTAGACCGCTCAAATGGCATTATCTCAGGCAGGACACGAGACGCATCGGCGACGACGCCAACTTCTTGCCTGGCTCATCCTGGCCTTGCAACACATCAACACACTCGGAGCTACGGCGGCAGAAATTGTCTTATTTATTCTCCGTGGTGCGCTGCGCGCACGTTTTGACTTTTGCGTGCCAGTATTGTTGCGAGGTCTAAGCCGCAATAGGACTGTACAGGGGGAGCTCATGTGCTACAGAAACTGACAGTAGGTACTAATCAAAAGCATATCCGCGGATATACTCCAGCCCCCTGCCTACCTGGTCGGCTTATTCATACTTGTCCACCTACCGACTTCACTCAAACGGCCAGAGGAGCCCCTGGGCTATGCATCGTTTATCACACTATTTATATATACGCAGGTGCCAACACTCACCATTTGCCGCTTTGATCAAGACCCAGGTGTATCGTATCGTCGACAGCAACAAGCAGTTTACAGGACCAGGTGACCTTGGTTCTCATTCCAGAAACAAGCCAGCGGCAACTGCAGGAAATCCTATACCGTAAACCTTGGCAGTGCGAAATCGGGGAAAAGAAGAAATATCTTCGCTTACGGCAGTCGATCATCTGGAGTCCGGCGAGGTACTCGTAATTTTTGACGCCGAGTTGGCTCATTATTCCCCTAGGTCAAGACTTACCTAGCTTCGTATATAAGCACCACAGACGACACCACCACCACCACTGTTGTCAATCTAGCAATACCTTTTGCTTATAGCGCCGAATTACCTGGAGATCCTGCGAGCTACTGCACGCCGAAGCGGCTTGTATTTCTTAGGTCGAGACTTAGCTTTCGCAAGAGAAGCACTATAGAGGACACTATTTTGTCAATCTGGCAGTGTGGTTTGCTTACGGCGGTCAATCACCTCAGAGTCCGGCGAGCTACTGGACTCTAAGTTGGCTTATAGCCCTTAGGTCGAGACTTAGGAAGCACTACAGACACTACAGACACTACCGTGTTGTAAAATCTGGAAATGTCTTCGCTTACAGCGGCCGATCACCTGGAGTCCGGTGAGTTACTGGACGCTGATTTTGCTTATATCCCTTAGGTCGAGACTTGGCTTTCGCAAAAGAAGTACCACAGAGTACACTATTTTGTTAATCTGGCAGTATGGTTTGCTTACGGCGGTCAATCACCTCAGAGTCCGGCGAGCTACATTGGCTCATATCCCTTAGGTCGAGACTTAGCTTCACAAGGAAGCACCACAGACACTACCGTGTTGTGAAATCTGGAAATGTGTTTGCTTACAGCGGCCGATCACCTGAAGTCCGGTGAGCTACTGGACGCTGGTTTTGCTTATACCCCTTATTAGTTCAAGTCTTAGCTGTGCAAATCAGTACTACATACCTCATGTGACCTAAGTGAAGGCCAGGATATACAGGACACTGAGGATAGTATGGCACTTGCACGGGTGGTAATTCCAGGGCGCACCAGATTCACTTCACAAAGTCCCCGCCGCAGGTGTCGTACTGGTTGGCGTATGTATATCGGTCGCTGGCCGGAGGTATTTGTGAGCTGAAACATGCTTCCTGTAAACGAGTGGGCACGGATCCGATGTCGATACGCCTGGACGTCGCTTGGTTAAGTGCAAGCAATCCCCGATTCCCGAACGCAAGGATTCGAATATGGCACACCAGATAATTGTTGAATATGCAATACGAGTGTCCTATGTTACAGACGCACATATTACTTCTTCGAGTGCCATATCTCTGCTTGCAGCAGCCCTACGCCCTTCAAGACCTGCGAACCTAGCTTTATCATATGTCACTACTGCTCAAGGACAACATTCATACACGGTCCAGCTTTCTTTAGGAACCCTCCGGTCATGAAAACTCAAGAGGATATATGCAGCCCGCCCAGGCCAAAGCTTCATCGTGTCGACTCGCCATTGGAGACTGCAGACGATGGCCCGCTGTTCGAGTGCAGTCTTGCAGAGGCTTTTACTGCAACAGCGGAGAAGTTCCCGAATCATACTGCAATCATAGACGAGGAGTGCAGACGTGAAAGCACGTTTCGAGAGGTCGATTCTTTTGCCAAGTCGATTGCAGCTGGGCTTCAGGCGCGAGGTATCCGCAAAGGAGATCGAGTCGCCACCAGCTTGGGCAACACACTTGAGGGTTGTGTCGTAAGACTTTGGTGTTTGAGGCTTGAATTCTAGATCGATTCTAACGCATGTGTCTTTGCAGAGTATCTTGGCTTGCTACAAGCTGGGCGCGATCGCGGTACGTATAATCCACCACCACCATAGTGAAGTTGCTGCATGCTAACTACCAGTTCAGGTGCCACTCAATCCTTCTTACAAGCCAGCTCAGGTCATCGGCGCACTCAACCACGTGACCGCCGCTTGTCTCATCATCAGTGCCGAAGCCAATCTGCCATTCCGACGACCAGCTTCCACGATACCGACTCTGGAAGCATTCGTGGATGATCTATACGTCGAAAAGATCTCCAGTCGAGCAGTTCCCAGCCTGGAACATGTCATCATCGTGGACAATTCTTGTGGCAGAATCGACACGACCCCGTTCAAATCCTTGATTTGCTGGAACACACTACTCACTGGTCAAGAAGAGCTGTCTGATAATGCAGTGAGCAAAGACGATGTTGCTCTGATACAGTTCACCTCCGGGACTACATCGGCTCCCAAGGGAGCATGTCTGACCAATCGTAACCTCGTGAACATCGCAATCAACATGGGACGGCGCCTGAATTATACAGAACAGGACACTGTCTGTTGCCCTACACCACTGTTCCACGTCTCCGGGACAACACTTGGACTGGCGATATCTCAATGCTTTGGGGCAACTCTCGTCTTCCCTTCAGAGGCCTTCAATACTGCCGCCACTGTCGAAGCACTTCGAACGCAGAAGTGCACAGCAGTATATGGAGTTCCTACCATGTACGTGGCGATGCTCGAATACATCAGCCAGAGTCACATTCGAAGCGAAGATTTCAAGCAATTGCGAACAGGCATCATCAGCGGTGCCCCTGTCCACGCTTCCTTACTTCGTAAGGTGCACGACGTACTCTATCTTCCCGAGTTGGCAGTCTGTTGGGGCATGAGCGAAACTGCCGGTGCGGCGACCATGTCTCATCCTTACGATCCATCCGTGAAGCGAGTCACGTCCGTCGGTCGAACACTCCCTCATACTCAGGTCCGCGTGGTGTCTCGAGACGACCCGCTTCGCGTGTTGCCTGTAGGTGAACGCGGAGAGCTTGTAGTGGCGGGCTACCTCCTTATGAAGGGGTACTGGAACGATCCTGCAGCTACTGCAGCAGCGCAGATCTACGATCCTGTCTCGAATGAAATATGGATGCGCACTGGAGATGAAGGTGTCCAGGACGCAGACGGCTTCTTTCAGGTGACGGGGCGTATCAAGGATGTGATCATTCGTGGGGGTGAGAACATCCATCCTGCGGAGATTGAAAGCATACTGGTCGAGCATGCTCGTGTGATGGATGCGAGCGTGGTGGGCATACCTGATGAGAAGTATGGTGAAATTGTTGGTGCCTTTGTCGTTCTGAACGATGCCAGCGGCGCCAGTACTTCTATGAAGCAAGAGTTGCAAGAATGGGTAGGCGGCAAGTTGGGCAAGACTTGGGTGCCCCGAGAGGTGTTTGTGGTTGAAGATCTTCCCAAGACTGCTTCCGGCAAGGTCCAAAAGTTCGAGTTGAGGGAGAAGGCGAAAGGCTTGCTTGCCTTGGCATCGCCGCCACCAACCGCGTCGTCTCTGAAGAGTACCAACAGTCGGTCCGCAGACTCACATGCCCGCGCAGATTCATGCGGACCGGAGCCAGAAGAAGCAGACTGCGACAGTGCTGGTTGGGACAACGCGGCCGGAGCCTGGTCCTCCAGCCTCCACCGCGCCACCACACTCGCTGCAGGCCGCCTCATCGATCTTGCTGAAGAACTCAGACCCATCACCGAGGCCTCTCGTGTGATCGACGTCGGTGCAGGCACGGGCGCAGCAACTCTCGCCATCGCAGCCAAGACTTGTGCCACAGACATGACAGCAACAGACATATCGCAGTCCATGCTCGATAACATCCACCTCCCACCTCCAACAACGACATCATCGCACCACGCAGCACCACACTCCTCCCGCACCCTGACCAGACAAACGGCAGATGTCCACCACCTCACCAAAACTTTCCCCCCCTCGAAAAAGACTTACACTCATACCTTCTCCAACCTGATGCTTCACGTCCTCTCCGACCCCCTCACCGCCGTCCACCAAATGCACGCCATCACCGACCCCGCCGGCGGCATCCTCGCCCTCTCCCTCACGGGAAAACCCATCTGGATGTACCACCTCTGGCAACTCGCCTGTCAAACCCTCGACCCAACCTTTCTCGTCCCCGACCTCTTCCCAACTCGCTGGTGCACGCCCCAAGATCTCTCGCACGCCTTCCACGCCGTGCACGCGACTGACGTGCACATTGAAACCTTTGACACGGAATGGCCGTTTGCTAATTCTACGGACTTCGTCCATTGGTTCCGCGTCGGTGGTCATCCGGGTATTGATTTTGCCGTGCAGGCGTGGAAGGGTGATCGCGAGATGGCTTTGGAGGCTTTGGGGAAAGTGCATGATGAGATGAGGCATTTGTTGTGTTTGAGAACTGTCCTTGGGGTTGGGAGGGTGTAGGTTGGATTTTTTTTTTTTTTTTTTTTTTTTTTTTTTGGATACATTACCGGACTATAACAGTAGGGTATGTTGTTTGTTTTGTATTATTTTTTATATGGCGCTCGATACTTGAGATATGAGAGATGATTGATTTGGGTTGCATAGGTTGGACTGCATAGATGGGGGGGCGTTCACTTACTCACCATGGCGATAGATGACATTTGGCCTGCTGTCTAACAATGTACGACATACCACCTACAATAGAATCAATTGAACTGAATGATTCCGGCAAATCTCCTCTCATCTCATCAGCGTAGAGTACCTAAGATAGGTATTTTAGGTACGGTAGGTATGTATGTAGAGTATACTATAATATGGATCCACGCCAAAAATCCGGGTGGTAGGCTCCCCAACAGCAAAATCAAAATTTTGTAGCCACAGATCCCTCGGTAGAAGGAAAGAAAAAGAAAAGAAAAAGAAGAGATGCGCAAAAAGATCATTTGCTGATGTTGTTGTTGTAGGTCCGCCTGGGGATCGAACCCAGAATCTCCTGATATGATCTCACATGATGTGAATCGTAGTCAGACGCCTTACCATTGGGCCAACGGACCTGTTATTTGATGGGAGAGACTGCGGCTGAATCGTATATGATAGCTAAAATTTTGGTGGGGATGTACTGCGACGTTTCGGCGCGTTGGGCAGTTTCATGACGGTAGGGATTGGAACGTGTTGGACATTCGGGTATTGGTGTTGTACTCTATTCGCAATGTAGGTATACGTATATCTGTCTCTTGTAGACGTTCAGTCCGCTCTCTCTCTCTCTCTCCCCTATCTGGTACCTACAGTCGCGAGCAGTGTGTTCTTTCCGAGTTCTAGGTAGGCATCGTTCGGTGCCTCGACTCTACCTACATATGAAGAACCTCTCTCTCCCGTCTCCATGCTGTATGATGTCAAGTCTGCACGAGCTACATAAACTAGCACATCACCAATAGACAAAAGCAGGTTGGTCAGCATTGAGAAATAAAAG